TTTATACAATTTATTTGCTATTCAAAATTGTTAGGGAAGGAAAACCTTTCCTCTACCCTCTTAGTCTAATACTTGGGACCTGAAAATTAAACTGACAACAATCTGATTGGCAATAGAAAAAAAAAAACAACTCACATATTTAATTATATATATTTGTATGGGAATTCATAAAGAAATGTGACTCAAGGATGTGGTTAGAATGTGAAGTTCATATGCCATCTTAATAAGGGATAGAGAAGGACAGAGGGGAACTTATGGGAGAACAAATGACTTACAGGAAAATATAAACGAACCCTTAGGAGAATGGATATGATACATGTTAGTTTTATGACAATTTCTGCTTAGGTGATTTCTTATCCAGGTGCTGACTTATATTGACTTTTTCTCTTTGGACAAGTTTGTGTTCTGTCTTCTTGTTTAAGCTCTCCCATTATACATAAGTATTTTTTTTGAAGTCTTTTTAGTACCTTTTACTCTATTTTTTTTTTTTTTTTGCATTTTTGTGTCTTTTCTAGAAGGGAGGTGATTTTGCTGTTTAAAATAGATAGCGCTAGTTGTGTTCAATGTTCCTAAACATGAGGAAGTTGTTATATGCCTTAAAGAGGAAATACAAGTGTTAGATAAGATTTTTCTAGGCATGAGTTATATAGCGCTACTGGCTGTAAATTCAATATTAATGAACCAACAAAGTATATTAAATAAGGTGTCTTTAAGCAGAACCATACACAGAAGAAGGTCAGTTGATTAAAATGATGTGACCAGGGTCTTATAGGAAACTAACCTTGCATTTCCCTTAAAAACAATAGTTCAGTATTTGATAATTCATTGTTCATGATATTATTTGCTGGTCACTACTAAAAAATAATGAGAATTGACTGTTATACACTTATAGGGTTCAGAACACACTACCCAAAATATGGCATTTTGATATACTGAATATTTTAATCTGAAGGAATTCAAAGAATGGCAAGTGCAGAATTCCTGTCCCTTTCCCCCTGAAGCAGTTCATGGAAACAGCAGGTGCTGGAAGGATTCTCTGTCACCCCCTCCCCTTTCTGAAGCAGGTCATAAGACCCTCATGTGAGTGGTGCTCTCCCTATACCTGGAAGAAAGGAGCATCCTTATGTTCAAGACAAGGGATGCTCCTGAACGTTTCTGAACTCAGCAGAACTTGCTGAGTTTCCCCCAGTTTACCACCCCTTAGCTCATACTTTTCTGTCCTACCACATTTTTCCAGGACTTCCCACTCTTCATCAAACCTAGTATAAAAACACCTAAGTTTAACTGTTTCTTCCAGTCTTTAAATCCTTTTGACAGCTCCCATGTCAAGTAAACTTAAATTTGTATGCTTTTTCTTGTTTATCTGCTTTTTGCCAATCCAATTTACAGGGCTCTGGCTGGAGAAACTAGGAAGATAGTAGGGAAAATATCCCCCCATCCCACAATACTTGCTGATTTTTGAGCCATGTGAATATATAGTATGTGTTAGTCACTCAGTCATGTCCGACTCTTTGTGACCCTGTGGACTATAACCCACCAGGCTACACCCTCTGTCCATGGGATTCTCCAGGCAAGAATACTAGAGTGAGTAGCCATGCCCTTCTTCAAGGAATCTTCCCGACCCGGGGATAGAACCTGGGTCTCCTGCGTTACTGGCAGATTCTTTACCATCTGAGCCACCAGGGAAGCCCCATGTGAATGTATTAGCTCTACTAAACATTAAATTAAGTTTTAAATAATGGAGTCTTTAAATTTTTAACAGGAGTTCTAAAATAGTTTCTCAAAGTGTTGGAGTTCATTATTGTGAAAATACTAGGTCTTATTTTTACTTCTAACACATACGATGTGCCAGTCATTCTTTTGTTTTCATTCATCAGTCATTCATTCTTTCAACAAATAGTGACTGACTACTTTGGCCACCTGATGCGAAGAGCTGACTTGTTTGAAAAGACCCTGATGCTGGGAAAGATTGAGGGCAGGAGGAGAAGGGGACAAACAGAGGATGAGATTGTTGGATGGCATCACCAACTTAATGGACATGGGTTTGGGTGGACTCCGGGAGTTGGTGAAGGAGAGGGAGGACTGGCGTGCTGCAGTTCATGGGGTGGCAAAGAGTTGGACACGACTGAGTGACTGAACTGAACTGAACTGACTTTAAGGCAGGTAGTATGCTAGGGTCTGGGTACAAAGTGTCATGATTTCAACCCTCCGTGACCATACAATCTAATGAAGGAGAGAGATGTTATATGAATAAACATACATCAATATATACATAATTACAATTTGATTTAAGTGTTACGGCAGAAAAACACTAAATTCAATGAGAAAGTCAAGAGCAGAGAAGTTTAATTTAGATAGGAAGGAGGGTCATGGAAGATCTCTCTGAGGAAATGTCTTTTGAGTTACAACCATAAAAGGGGTATGAAGTATTTTGGGCAGAGAAAATACTACTTGCAAAGGCCCTAAAGTAGAAAGTGCTTCAGAAACTGAAGGGAGGCCACTATGATAAAAGCATAGCAAATACATAATACTGTCTCCAGATGAAAAAAGAAAGCCAGGATATGCAGAACTGAATAGTCCGCATTAAGAAATTTGTGCCTCTCAGGTGTAATGGGAGATATTGAATGATTACAATTGGAAATTATATTATCTAATTTGTATGTTCACAGGCTCCCTCTGGCTGGTAGGAGGATGAATTGAAGATTGGTAGTGGTGTTGGAGGCTTGAGCAAAGATACATTGATTCATCTTGAATAGTTGTATAGCTTAAGGGCTGCTTTTATTTTTGTTTATAAAAAGACATGTAAGTTAAGAGTATAACTGTGTATATGGAGCATCAACAAGATTCTCATCTAGAGAAGAGTAAGAAAAGGATAATTCTTTTCAAAGAAATAATGTCTGTCTTCATATTTTTCTTATATTTTTAAAAATAATTTTTATTTATTTTTGGCTGTGCGGAATCTTCATTGCCGTACGGGCTTTTCTCTAGTTGCATGAGTGGGGGCTGCTCTTCCTTGTGGTGTGCCAGCTTCTTATTGCGTGGCTTCTCTTGCTGCAGAGCGTGGCTCTCTGCAGGGGATTCAGTGGTTGCAGCACATGGGCTCAGTAGTTCTCGTTTCCAGGCTCTATAGCGCAGCTCAGTAGTTGTGGCACACGGGGTTTCTTCCTCTGTGGCATGTGGGATCATCCTGGACCAGGGATCAAACCCATGTCTCCTGCATTGGCAGGTGGATTCTTTACCACTCAGCCACTGGGGAGCCCGTTTCTTAACAGCATTTAACAGCATGCTGATTTTAACAGCATTGTTCAGTGGATTCCTAGTTCTGGAATGTTTAAATCCTCTTGTTTCTTTACCTTTATTATCCATTTAAATCCTAGGTGTGCTCGTTGTTCTCGATTTGTTTCTAGTTTTTTCCTTTTTTCACAGTTACTAAATTTGTCCAGGGTTTTATCACCACAGGCTTCTTTCATAGCTCAGTTGGTAAAGAATCCACCTGCAATGCGGGAGACCCCAGTTTGATGCCTGGGTTGGGAAGATCCCCTGGAGAAGGGAGAGGCTACCCAAAAGGCTGCAGTATTCTGGCCTAGAGAATTCCAAGAACAGTCCATGGAGTCAGAGAGAGTCGGACATGGTTGAGCGACTTTCACTTTCACTTTTATCACCACACATGTATACTTACTATAGTATTTTCTAGCTACTATCCTTTTTTTTTCTTCAAATCACCCTATATACAGCTCCCAGAATATTTCTCTTTAATTTATTTTTTTATTTAAACTTTCTTTTGTGTAAACTTTTTATTTCTTAAAAAAGACTATTTCTGTAGTTTAAAATTACTTATGGCTGAAAATTCCCCTTTGTGTTAGACATACAATGAAGATTTTTGTTATATATTTCATTATTCTACTTACTAGTTCAGAGGTTCTTCACCTGGGATCCACAGATTCCTAAAGGATCTATGGATAGAATTCAGAAAATTTGTGGATTTTTATGGGGAAAAAAAATGATACCTTTATTTTCAGTAATCTCTAACTGAAAGCATTTCCTTCAATTCTGAACATAGTCCATAAACCACAGTAATAATAATACTTGTAATTCTGTCACCAAAAGAAAACTCAGGTATTTCTATACCACATTACAGTTTTTTTCAGATACCTTCAAATATCATTTATATTTGTCACTATTTCAAAATTAAGATAGTCATGGGCTCTTGTTATTTAATGCATTTTAAAAGAAGCATGCTTATTTCTATAGCACAAATTTATATTCAAAAATTTTAATATTTTAATATAATCAGTATCCTTTGTAATTCTATGAATTTTATTTTAAGGAGTTAAAAACATTTTTCTGAGAAGGTACCCATTCATTTAATCAACTGACAAAGATTAAGAACCTATGTTTTTGTTCCATTTACAGTGCTTGAAAAATTGTGGGCAAAATAAAAATTTAAAAATATTTACAGAAAATGTTTATTTATTTATTTGTCTGGGCAGGGTCTTACTTGTGGCATGTGGGACCTAGTTTCCTCACCAGAGATCGAACCCAGGCCCCCTACATTGGGAGCTCAGAGTCTTAGCCACTGGATTACCAGGGAAGTGCTGTCAACTAAATACTTTTTAACTACAATGTTTTTCTACAGTTTTGATGATAGTCATATGTTACTACCATGTTTTTATAGTAAGCAATTCTTATTCTTTAAAGTGTACTTCCTGACAAGGGAGCCAAAGATAGTGAAATAAGTTTAAGTTCAGTTTAAGATATACTGATGACATCATCCCATCCATTTTTCATGCCATAGACATGAACTTAGACAATTTAAAGTTCCTGCTACCTCTTCAGGAACTGTCTCTTAATCTAGAGCAGGTGTGAGGAATATCAATCTGAATTAGATAAAATATGAGCAATGCATTATTTTAAAGAAATGCGGTTTATTTATTCAGGTTGACTTTTTGCCCCCAAAAGGTACTGGCCAAATTGCTAATGACTAGGTAAAAATAATTTGAATTAGTATATTTATTGATCAATAGAATAATTCTTACAAAGTGCTTGAAAATAGATTGTCTCCTTAGCATTTGTCTTCTTTGACATCACCGATTTTAAAGTATTTACTGATCCTTTTATGTGCAAAGATACAATCTGAGGACATTAATAATCTAATAGTTTCTTCCATAAAGTTGCCATAGCACATCACCAGCATATTACAATTTATATTCTCATAACAGATTATAATAGTTACTTAAGAATAAAAGAGAATGGTATGTGGTAATGATACAGAGTTGAAAAGATATATATTTATTAAGCATCTATATGCCATCAAGTTTCAACAGCATATTAGGGAACTTAAAAGGACAAATAAGAGTGATAAACATGACAGATTGTCTTAGTTGACTTTCATACAATTATATCTACTGTACATTATTAATTTACTTAGCAAACTTTTCCCCAAGATCTGCAAAGCTAAAAAAAGTAGATGAATCAAACTATACTTTCTGTTAGTACAGTAAATATAAATTGATCATATCATACTTATTTCTACAGTTACAGCAGGTAAAATTAAATTGTGAGAAAGTGTTTCTTTTTTCTTGAATTGTTATAAAACAAAGAGGTCCTCTAGATTTCTGGGTAAGAAGGATAACTAGCAATTCCACAGTGATTTCCACTATTTCTTGCCATCCGTATATATCCTTGGTCACCAAAGTTGAGGCCCCAGCTTTAGAAAAAGAAGTAACAAAAAATTACAAATGAATATAATCAAATCACATTATCAATTTTCAGTCTTAGATTGCTTTTCTCCTAAAGTGATTATACAAGAGAACCTATAAAGCAAAATTAGAACAACATAATATATAATAATTTCCCCAGTGCTTTCAGGCAATTTTCAAAGGATGGTTTGATAGGTTTTAATGCTATATTGATGAATAGATTAATACCTAATTTAATACCTAGGAAAATAATATGTTTCATCACAAACCTATAAATCTTCCTGTTTCCGCAGAGAATGAGTTTTATTATCTTTTCCAAGGCCCCATCTTGAAGTATTTTTGTATAATAGGATTATAGGTGATGATTTCCTACCAAACTTCAATTTCTTCAGAGTGTCATGTAGAAACATTTTTGAGAGACCACTATGGAAAAGGCATAGGACAGGGGTTCTCTAAAAGAGTAGCTCTCAAACACCTTTTTGAAGTGGAGCTAAGACTTGTTCACAGTTAAAGCTGTAAAAAAAATGGAATATGCTACCTTGGGAGGAGATGAGCTCCCTGGTACTGGAAGTGTTCAATAAGAGGTTTACATAACTTGTTAGAGATGTTGCTAGAGGGGGAATTTCTGGGTCAGATAAAGGTTAGAGGAGATCAATAGCTCATGACTTCAACATTTCATGGACTTTAAGAATTTCAAAAACTTTTGCAGATTGACATAAAGTTACCGGTTTTTAAATTAGCAAGTACTAAACATTAGAAAGAAAAACTTTATTATCACCATCATATTGTAAAAGAAAGGAAATTTTAACACCAAAAACAAAACTTAAGGGGACATAATCTCTAATCTAAGGATAGTCCTTTGAATCAAATAAATTTAGATTTATGAAAGAGTCACCAAAATATTTTTTTCTCCCCTTATCACATACTAGTGAAAAAACTGACAAAATCCTTGCATGGGAAATGACTTGTGAGGTTCTTTATTATTCTGAGATTTTATAATTATATAATTATACAGATAATTATAATAATATGAGGCAGGATTCATACTCTGTATGAACTGTGCTATAACTAGCATACAAATAAGAGCATAAAATACTGTGATTTTATTTGAAGAGCAGCAAGAAATTCAGTTGAAAGGAAAATTAAACGTCCTTAGGAAACCAGTGGGAAAAGAAGATAGAAGGTTGGTTTGGGGCCATGTTGTACAGAGCATAGAACAGCAGACTGAGGAATCTGTTTAACTCCCTAGGCAAAGGGAAGTTGTTGCAAATTTTTGCTCAGGACTCAAAGGAAGGTTGTGTTTTTGCCTGTAGTGGAGAAATTAAGACATGCTGGCTTATTGGAAAAAGACAAGTGGCATAAAAAGTATGCCACTTTAAAGTGGCTGTTCTTCAATAGGCCTTAAATGTTCTATGTATCAGCCATTCACTGGACAATCTTCAGGTATTATTTCTTTCTCTCTCGTACCATTTAACACAGTTGTCTACTCTTACCTTAGGGTTCCCTTGTGGCTCAGCTGGTAAAGAATCTGCCTGCAATGCGGGAGACCTGGGTTCGATTGCTGGGTTGGGAAGAACCCTTGGAGAAAGGAAAGGCTACCCACTCCAGTATTCTGGCCTAGAGAATTCCATGGACTGTATAGTCCATGGGGTCACAAGAAGTAGGACACAACTGTGATTTTCACTTTCACTACTCTCACCTCACTTCTCTCTTGGCTTTAAAATACTACTGTATCCTGATTTTCTCTTCTCTCTCTGATCACTCTTTCTTAAACTCTCTTATGGGTTTTGTTTTTTTTTTTTTGCCTCACCACAGGCTTCTCTGGTGGCTCAGTGGTAAAGAGTCTGCCTGCCAAAGCAGGAGATGCAGGAGACACAGGTTTGATCCCTGGGTCAGGAAGATCCTCTGGAGTAGGAAATGGCAACCCATTCCAGTATTCTTGCCTGTGAAATCCCATGGACACAGAAGCCTGGAGGGCTACAGTCCAAAGGGTCCCAAAGAGTCGGAGACGTCTAAGTGACTGAGCACCCACGTCATACACATGGCTTGGAGGATCTTAGTTCTCTGATCAAGGATTCAACCAGGTCCCTGAAGTGAAAACACCAAGTCCTAACCACTGGACTTTCAGAGAACTCACTGGGCTCCTTTTTTGATTCCTTTCATTTATTGCCATTCCCATTTACAATTCTTGAATGCCTCCCTAACACCTTGAGAATAAAATCCAAACTCCACTGTCACCTCTCATCAATGGAGGCAGGTTTTTCAGTATCAATTTCGATAAGCAAAAGCAATAATAAACTCTGGCTAAGCTATTATTAGTATCAATAGCCACCACTTATTGAGCACTTACTCTGTGCTAAGTAGCTTAACATATATTATCTCATTTAATCATCATCCTATGAGGTAGGTATTATCTTCTTTTTACGAAAGAAAAAAACAGGCAGAGGTAAAGTGGCTTGCCCAAAGTCATGCAGGTGGTTAACTGCAAAGCAAGGGTTCAAATCTAGGCTTTTATGCCAAAGCCTACACTAACTTTTAAACTACCCTTTTTTCTACATTCTTCCTGTGAGTGAGGTAGTATAGGGAATGAAATTCAAACCAGAACATCCAGGATCTTTTTACTGCCTAAAAAATAGGTAAAAATTTTAGATAAACTGAGTTTAGACCTAAGTTCTGGTAATGAAAATTGAGTGGAGGCTCTTATGACTAGTAATATGAACTTAGTCAGTGAGATCAAGCTGTCCCTGATCCCATTCAATATCCAATTCAATTCAGTCCCAGTCCCAGAGAAGGTCAACTGGCCCAACTTTGTAGAACATCCCAGACCTCTTTTTGGCTGAGTACTGCTAACTCTGCTTTTAAAAATACAACTGATTAAAAACCTCAAGCTAGATAAATATTTGAGGACAAATTCTTGTCTTCAGAACTGTGCAAGATCAGTTCCAAATGTTCATTCCAGTTCTTACCAAGTTGTTCACTTTTATTAACTCTATAGACCTTTCACTCAAACTGTTCAACTTTGGGCAAGTTTCTTAATTCTCTCAGAATTGGGAGCTTCCTATTCTGTGCTTTGGGGATAAAGTGCCTATCTCATAGATAACCTTAAAAACTAAATAAGAAAATGTATTTAAAGTGCTTGCACAGTGTCTGTAGTAAATGCTCAACAAGTAGAGATGGCTATTTTTGTTTTTATCCAAGTATAAGCCCATCTGATTGGACTCAAAGGGGATTCCATCCCCTTTAAAAATATGTAGTGCTTTTCCTAGGGTGACTAACAGTTCCATTTTGCCTAGGATTGTCCTGGTTTTAAAAATAAAGTCCTGTGGACTTCCCTGGTGGTGCAGTGGATAAGAATCCACTGACCAACGCAGAGGACATGGGTTTGATCCCTGGTCTTAGAATATTCCACATGCTACAGAGCAGCTAAGCCTGTGTGCTGCAACTACTGAAGCTCAGGTGCCCTAGAGCCTGTGCTCCACAAAAGAAGGCACTGCAGTGAGAACCCTGCACACCGCAAGGAAGAGCGGCCCCCGCTCACGGCAAGCAGAGAGAGCCCGCGTAAAGCAGCGAAGACCCAGCACAGCCAAACATGAAATAAAGAAGTAATAATGAAGACATAGCATTTAAAAAATAATAAAGTCTTGTGGCCTGGGTCTTGTGGTCTTAGTTGGTAACAAAACAGGGTGTTTGGTCCCTCTACTTTCTCCCTGCATATTACAGACACTAACTTATCAGAAATTCCTTCTAAAATATATGCCAATTTCCTTTCTAACAAATTACAGCCTTGAACTTTCTAGGCTGTGCCAGACACTATTCTAGCCATTAGGATTATGGAGGTAAACAAGGTAGACAGTCTTTTTAAAGCCTATATACATTCTACAGGGGAAACATACAATAACCAAAGAAATATGTAATATGGTGTAAGTACTATAAAGAACCTGGAGAAGGGAATGGCTACCAACTCCAGCATTCTTGCCTAGAGAATTCCATCAACAGACGAGCCTGGTGGGCTATAGTCCATAGGGTTCCAAAGAGTTGGACATGACTGAGTGACTAAAACTGTCACCTTCTTTCAGTATAAAGAAAAATAAATGGTAAGGGGATGCAGAGTGTTGGGAGTCAGGGCTATATTTTATTTTTTTTTTTATTTTATTCTTTGGCTGTGCCACATAGCTTGCAGGACCTTAGTTCCCTGGCCAGGTATCAAACGTGGGCCAGAAGTGAAAGCACTGAGTCCTAACCCCTGGGCTGCCATGGAATTCCCCAGGGCTACATTTTAGATAGCATAGCCAGAGAATGCTTATCTGAGGAAATATTTGAGCAAAGACCTAAGTAAAGTGAAGGTACAAGTGATGCAAAGACCTGGGAAAAGAGCTGGGAATACTCTTGGTATGTCTGAGAAACAGCAACAAGTCTAATGTACCCAAAGCTGAGTGAGAGAGGAGAAAGGAGTTGGAGAGGTGGTTGGAGAGGCAGGTTGAGACCAGATAATGTCATGCTTTACTTATCATGGGTTTTATTTCGAGTGTGAAGGAAGCCATGAGAGGGGTTAGAGTAGAAGAGTAATAAAATCTGTTTTTTTATTTAAAAAAGATCATTTGGGCTACTATGTAGAGGATTGACTATAGGCAAAAGAGAGGGAAAGTGACTATCCGTTGGGAGATTACGGCAGTAGACCCAAAGAGATGTGCAGTGGCTTGAACTAGAGTGGTAACAGTAGCGCTATTGAGAAGTAATAAGATTTGGGGTAATTTAGTGATGGTAGAAAGGACAGGATTTGCTGATAGATTAGATGTAGGGTATCATATGAAGAAAGAAAAGATGGCTCTAAGGTTTGGCCTGGACTAAATGCTGTTGGCATTTACCAAGATGGAGGAAATTGGGGCAGTAGCAGGGGGTCAAGTGTTCTATTTTGAACATGTTAAATTAAAGAGGTCTAGAGACACACAGGTGGAGAGGTCAAATGGCAGACAGTTGGACATGGAGTCTAACACTCAAGTTATAAAGG